CCCCAAAACCCCAAAACCCCAAAACCCCAAAACCCCAAAACCCCTCTAAGCATAAAAGTCACTGAATTTTTATAATAATATTTCTTAAAAATGTGGAAGTTCCTTATGAAGTGTTTTCTGCTGCATTCTGTGATCTACATATTCTCAAGACTTGTTCAGGAGTTGGGTTTGCTGACTATCTCAGATGACTACATAAGATACAAAATTGAGAAATGCAACAAATTATCTTGACTAGTAGAAATAAGTAAGCTGATATTTGTATACAGTGGAGCAAATATACTGATGATCCAGATTTTATCACTGGAAGTTCTGTTAGAATATTGCCTTGGCCAATGCAGTTTCATATTGTTCATAATCTCCAAGCTGCCCTGCTTATACTGCCTCAGTGTTATAATCGAACAGTACTTCTTGACTCCCCTTCAAAAGAAGAAATACATCGCTGATTCATATTTCTTACTGCTTTTGAATAATTTCTTGAAAGGGTCATTTTGGATGAACCTCTTAATGTATCTGACACTGGCTCCAAGGTATTTCAAGATGCTTCTGCTTGTCTTTGTAAATCTAGAAGAGAAGTTCAACAGGAATTTAGCAGGCTTGATTACTCTTGTAGATGTATGAGTGAGACAAATTGAGATTGGCATCTGGAGAATCCAGATTCTGCAATTCAAAGATAAATACATCAGAGGAGAAGGAAATTACTCAATGTTTCTTGTGAGTAGAATATCTGGATTTTTTGAGTTGATAGATCGTCAGGATTACCAATCTATGCTTGACTTATATTGGTATTTAAGTGCTGTCTCCACTATAGTGTTTGCCTTTTTATTAGCTATATATTGGTATTGCAACAAAAAAGAGCTAAATAAGATCACACTTGAGTGCCCTAATGTTGACGATTATGGGGTTCCTAATAACTTTGCACCAAACGCTTTTGACTAAATCTTATTTATTCAATGTATAAATCTAATCTTGGGGTTTTGGGGTTTTGGGGTTTTGGGGTTTTGGGGTTTTGGGGTTTTGGGG